TGAAGCTTAATTTTGCTGGATACAGAATTCTTGGTTGGCATCCATTGTCTTTCAGTGTTTGAAATACGTTGTTCCAGGATCTTCTCGATTTCAGCGTCTGTGATGAAAAATCCGTTGTTAACCTTATTGGTTTACCCCTGAATGTAATCTGCCTCCTTTCTCTTGTAGCTTTTAATATTTTCTCTTTGTTCTGTATATTGGATATCTTCATAACAATGTGTCTTGGCGTTGGTATACTGTGATTTTGTATGCTCGGTGTCCTGTATGCATCTACAATTTGTATATCCGTTTCCTTTTTTATTTCTGGAAAGTTTTCTATAATTATCTCATTCAGCAGGTTGCTCATTCCCTTGGTTTGAATCTCTATACCTTCCTCTATCCCAATGACTCTTAAGTTTGGTTTTTTTATGTTATCCCATATCTCTTGGATGTTTTTCTTGTGATTTTTTACCAGCCTTTCTGAGTTGGCTAGACTCTTCAAGATGATATATTTTGTCTTCATTATCTGACATTCTGGCTTCTACTTGCTCCACTCTGTTAGTGATACTCTCATTTGAGTTTTTAATTTGGTTTATCGTTTCCTTCATTTCTAGAATTATTGTTTGATTTTTTTTATAATCTCTATCTCCTGATAAAGATGCTTAATTTCTTCTTTTATCTGTTTATGTAATTCATTTTCAATGTGTTCTTTCACTGTTTGAATTTGCTGTCTCATATCCTCTTTAAGGTTCCATTCCATCTGTCTAAGGTAATCCTTGAGTTCTTTATTTGACCATTTTTCTGATGCCTCTAGGTCCTCCTGAATATTTAGGCTGTCCTGCATTGTTTGTACTCCTTTTCTTCCTTGCTTTTCCATGCTGCTCATGTTACTTCTTGTTCTGTTTGACTGCTGAGTTACTGTTTACTCCTATAAATTTATTTGATGCTTGGGAGGAAAGGTATTAGAAGGGAAGGGAAGAAGTCACTAAAGAGAATGAGAGTAAGCAGGTAGAATTCAAGGAAGAGGGAATAAGGAAATTGAAAAGAAATGAAAAGACAAAAGAAAAAATAGAAAAGAAAAAAAAATTTTAAAAATATAAAAATTAAAATTAAAAAAAAAATTTAAAAAATTTTAAAAAATTTAAAAAACAACAAAAAAATGAAAATGAAAAAAAAAAACCCAAACTAAAAAAAAAAAATTAATAAATGCAGTCTTAGAGTTTGATTAACTTCTCTTCCAGTATGTGGAGCTGTTCCCACCGGGCCAAGCTTCTCTCAATACGCAGGAACCAATCACTGTGCAGCAGCTCCTCCTCCCAGACTGGGCGGGTCTCCAATCCTGAGTGCCTAGGGCCTTCTCTTGTGTCTAGTCACTTCCCCACTTTTCCTCAAGCCAGGCCCCCTCACCGGTGACGCTCACCACAATACTGGCTACACGCCAGGTCTGCTGCTCCCGGGAGCCCTGTTTTCATGAACGCCTGGGCACACTCTCCCTGTTTGCCATTCCCTCAGACCCTAAGTTTGTAGAGCTTGGGGCTGAGAACCCTCAGCGAATTTTGCTTGCCCTCCGGTAGCCACGCCCCCGGTAGCTGGTGCATGAGACCTCAGTTATCAGCACTGGTGGGAGCGGTAGCCGGGAGTTCCATGCCGCGGGTCCCACGCCACTCCTGATTCCCTCCGTCTGGCTATCACGCTCACGGGAGAGCTGGGAGGGGCCCTTAAGTTTTCCCCGCTGTGTGGAGAGGGAAGGCTAGGGGGTTACACACCTGTCGCCGCTGGTTTCAATGGAGTTATCTCCTCCGCCGCATTCTGGTGACATCAGGTCTCTGCCATGGTGGTATCCCATGCAAATGGCGACAGTTCGTTCCCTTTGCCAGGTGACCAATGCAACGGGTGTGTCCTGACTGGCTCTCCCAAGCCCCGTCTCAATCCTGTGGCCATTGCCTATGAAGGCTCGGTTGGCATTAACCTCCGTAGGTTCAGAAGGGCTGACCAGTTGTTTCAGCGGGATCCTTTAGTGCTGAGTCACAGCAGTTTGTCTGCAAGAAGCAGCCGATCCGGGCTCGGTGTGTGTTCTGAGAGGCCCAGACTGTTCGCCCCAGATCCACGTCAGCTCAGCATTGCCTAGTGATCCTGAGCAAACAGCATTTAGACGGTTTACGACTCCCTATGCCTGAGCAGCTGAAGAGGTCAGAGACTTGATCTCTCTGCGCCCGCCGCCATGTTGGATCTGGAACCACATTTAAACAAGGGAAGACTTACCTTTAGACTAGAATGATGTCAAAATGTTGTTCTGCAAAAATCCAATCAGTGCAGGCCTTAGGAGAAGAGAGTACATTCCCTTGAGGGAGGGAGAGGTCTTGACTGCCACATCTACTTCCCTGGGTTTCCAGTCTGGTAGCCTGTCCTACAGAACCTGGGCTTGCCCCTCTCACAATCACATGCTCCAAGTCCTTACAATAAATCCCTCTCTGTGTGTATATTCATCCTGTTGGTTGTGTGTGGGAGGCCATCCTGCACGTGATCTGAGTTACCTCCCTGGCTGGGTGAGAGGCGCTCAGACACATCTTTGTGTCCAAAGCTTTCCCTACCTTCTCAGGTCCAAGGGCTTGTCCGTGTGGAGGCGTGTCTGGCCACTACCCTGAAGACCCAGTCGTCACACCTGACCTTGGGATGCTGCCCCCCTTAATCTTCATTGGATGGGATTTTCCCCAGAATTTTTTGTTCCCCAATAAAAGTCCACTCCCTGGTGTGTTCTCTCTCTCTCTCTCTCTCTCTCTCTCTCTCTGGCCTCTTCAGTAAACCTCGCTACCTACCGCATTAGGTGGCTGGAGGCGGGAGCGAGGAGAAGCCGTCCCGGAGCTAGTTTAAAGGTAATTAGAGTCTGTCTCTTTAATTCAAACTCCCTAAGGATTTCTCACTACTGAACCTTCCGGTGCTGGCCGCAGGCTAAAGTTGTGTCTCTGAGGTACCCCGATTAATACATCATCTTACAAAATCATAAATAAATGAGCGTGTTTTTAAATGCATGAATAATGAAGTTTAACTTGGGACACATTCCCGTTTAATAACCCAGCCTGGGCCCTCGGCAGCTTGTCTCAGCCTGAGGCTTCCGGGCTGCCCATCATCAGGCCCCACCAAAACCACTGAAATGGCGTGAACCAGGATCCCATTTTTTCTAAGGATCGCCAAGGGTTTTGGAGTCTTCGTGTGTGGCTCTCTCTCTCTCTCTCTCTCTCTCTCTCTCTCTCTCTCTCTCTCTCTCTCCCCCCACCCCGTGGTCTCCTTGTCAGAAGGCCAGTCTTGCTGCAGTGGGCAGCCCCTCTCCAGTGGGACCCAAATGAACTAAATATATTTGCAAGATTTGCAAGGACTGTACTTCAAAGTGGAGAAGTCATGTTCTGAGGTTCTGGGGTCAGGCCTTGACATCTTTGGGGACATCAAATTCCACCCACTCTGGTTGGTATGCGCAGTTGTTTTCGGTGACAGTGGTAAAGTCTGTAGTAGTACAAATGTCACCCTGGTCAGGCACTGGAAGCGCCTTGAGTCACTCACAGGGACAGCCTGCCACCTTCCATAAGGGGAAGCCGTCACCCTGAGGATGAGACAAGGAGCTCTGCCCAGATGCAGAGCCCCTGGGAGGCCTGGGCACGTGGGGGGGCACAAACCCTTCTCCCTGGGCAGGGGAGGGCTCTGCCAGGCTCTGCCTCTCTCTAGCCGCCTGGTGGATTCTTACCCCAAACCAGCTGGACTCTGGGACATTCATCCTGCAGGGTGGGACAGAGGGGCTGTACATTTAGGGGCCCGATGATGGACCCAGCCCCTCCCGGGTGTGAGGGGAGCAGAGAACATGTGGGGACAAACCCCAGCCATCTGAGTGGTGATCACAGGGGCAGTCCCAGGGCTGGGCCTCCACCAACCCGACAGTTCTTCAAGCCCTGCCCAGGATCCGAGCCCAGAGCAGCCATCGCTGTCCCCGTGGTGACAAGGTAGAAGGCAGTGAACTTGGGACGGGGCTCTCCAGCTTCCTCCCCCAAGAGAAGGTCCTTCTGCAAGGACAGCAGGGGACATGGGCCAGGGACAGCAGACCCTGAGGGCAGCCCCATCTCCCTGAGCTCCTGCCCCCCTGTTGAGGGCCACAGCTGAGTCAGGATGACCATGGCATATGGCCAGAAGGGGGTGGTTGAGAGGTGCCACCAGGGAGCCATTGAGATGAGGATGGTTATGTTAAGCTGTGTATTCGATTGTATATCTGACCTTTACTGTTCGGCAATAGGGCAGCTCTTGCCGCCCCGGGGAGAGCAGGGAGAGTTCCTGGGAAGTGTGCGTGGAGTGCTGGAGGAGTTCGGGCAAGAAAGTTTCCTGTTTGAGCATACAAGTGCTTTGTGGCGGCTCGGTGATTTGTGCCCAGCCAGCAGACTGCGGCACCCCCCTCCCCCAGCAGGAAGCCAGGCCCCTCCCCTGCTCACCCTGTGACCTTCACTCCTGCTGAGGTCTGCAGGACAGCTGGCCCAAGACCTGGACACCACCCCGCCCCAGGCACACACCCCTGCCCGCCAGCACGGGCCCCGCAGCATGCAGGCCTGGCGGCCACTCAGGCGTGCTATACTTTAATTTGAAATGGGGTCATAGTGATGTGAGTTCAGCCAGCGAGGGGGATCTGACTTTTATTGTATGAAGCTTCCTGTTTTCCCACTTGGAAAGCCCCCCAAATCCTTGTCATTACAGCTGTCCCCCCAGCAGGGGCAGACATCCCCCAAGACCCTTTGCAGACACGAATATCTCAGGCCTGAGGGTAAGACCCACCCTTGGGTTCTCACTTATCCTATTCTCTTCCCACAAGCCTCTGTCCCCAACCCCCACCAAGAGCTGCCCCTGAGGGGGATGAGTCACAAAGGGGAAGGAGCAGGAAGCGCTTTACAGTGGGGCCTCGTGGCTGAGCACTGAAGAAAGAGAGGTGCGTGGAGAGTCCCGGATGCCGCAGCGCCCAGAGCCCAGCGGAGCTTGGTGAAGACGCGAGCCGCGGCTCAGGGAGTCAGGGTTGGCCGGCTCTGCCCAGAGGCCAGGTGGAGAGCTGCCAAGCCCCCTGTCCTCCCGCTTCCTCCTGTGTCCTCGCTGTCCTCCCTGGACCTTGTGTAAGTCGGGATACTCAGCTCTGACGACAGCTGGGGCCAGGGGCACCAGGGCCCGGCAGGGGCTCACCCCACCAGGCCCCTTGTTGGCATCCCCCACCCCAGGCACCTAGGGGGAGCATTTATAATATGGAAACACCCAGCTAGCCTGGGAAGGAGAGGGTCCAGGTCAGGCCCTGGTGGTCACCATCCTCTTGGCCTGGAGAGGTGGGTGTGATTAGTCACACAGGCTGTAGATGGCCCTCAGTGGGGGTGGTTGGGGTGGGGACATTGTATTGCCACAGGGGAGGGGGTGGTGACAGGAATCTAGTGGGTGAAGGTCAGGGATTCTAGTAAACACTCTGGCACACAGGGCAGCACGAAGACCTGCCCAGCCAATAGCTCCATCGTGCTGAGAAAACTTGACCCACAAGATCTTTCCAGAGTAAAGTCCCTACCTGTTTCCTAAGTTAGCCAAAAAGGGAGCACAGACTGCTCCTGTCAGATACTCACATGCTCATGTGGTTGGTATCTACCAGGTGCCACCATGTGCCAAGGACTCTTCCAACACTGGGGATCTAAAAATGAACCTGACAGACGAGCTGAGGTTCCCAGGGGGTTGGGTGGAAGAGGGAAACAAAACGAATAAGTAGAAAGGCCCGCGGTGATAAGGGCCGTGGAGAGAACTGCACTAGGGTGGTGCACTGGGGAAGGATGAGACGTCTGGTTTTGATCTCGTGGTCAAAGTGGCCCCCTGCAGCAGTGACATTTCTGAAAGACCTGAACCACAGGAAGTGGCCAGACTCAGACAGATCGGGAGACAGTTTCCTAAAAAAAGAACAAAGAGCTTCTGTGAAGACTTCAAGGTAGAAGGGGCATGATGTGTCTGAGGAGCATATCAAAGGCCAACAGAGGGAGGGAGGAAGAGGACGATGTGGGAGCTTCTGTACACCAGCCAGGGACCAGGGGCTCCACCTCTCCTGGTGCAGGGGGGTTTCCTGGAGGAGTCAGGAAGGAGGCCAGTGAGCCCTGAATTGTTTCTGAAGATGGCCCCTGCCTGGGACAAGGGACCACAGAGGAGTTACCAGTTGACTTTTGTCCTACTTCAAAAGTAAATGTTGGCCTTCTGGCCACCTCGCTCCTCAGAACGTGAGCTTATGCAGAGATGGTCTTACAGAGGTGACAGTGAGGTCATTCAGGTGACCCTTAACCCAATATAATGTGTCTTTATAAAAATGGGGGCCATGGCCGGCCACAGAGGGGAGGTGTCCTGAGGTGGTGGCAGGTCCAGGGGGACGCTCCCCCAGGAGTCTGCAAGCCCGCAGAGCCAGGGCAGATCCAGAGCAGATCCTCCCCACAGCCCTCAGGAGGAGTCAACGACTGACACCTTGACCTTGACCTTGCAACCTCCAGAACTGAGGACCAATTCCCGTTGTCCGCTCCACCCAATCTGCGGTACTCCTCACAGCAGCACACAGGCACCGAGGCGGTGGCTGTGTAACCTGGCAAAGACTGACGTGTTGAGAGCGGGTAGAGAGAGGAGCAGAGGTGTCGGACCTGCTCCCGAGACAGGACTCGCCGATGCAGGGGTGGGGGCCGCCAGGACCCCAGGATCAGGCCTGTGTTCAGCTTGAGCAAAGAACAGGAGGGAGACAGGTCCCGGTGGGGAGTGGAAGACGCAGCCACCTTGGCCAATTCCTTTCCATCTTCACCCTTGACCTCCAGGGCAGCGGGCTGTCCACAGCAGCTGGACTTAGTCAACACACTGCAGAGCTGGGGCAGGGCTGCAGAGTGGTACTTAGAAGTTTGTCTCCCCTTGTTTAAATGGCTCCTCCTCCTCCCTGTTTGGACATTTTCATCACCCAGTGGGCACTGGTGAGTGACAGGGTCCACTCTGAAGTTTAAATGAAATTATCCCAGAGAAAAACAAACCGTCCTCTGCCGCCCTTGAGGGTGGAGCTGCCCATTGACTTGCAGTTCCTGGAAATGTACAAACAGGCCTGGGGCTAGGAGGAAATAGCACCCTGACCTTGGCCTTGCAATGTCTGGCAGTGGCCACATCGGGGTCTCTGCAGCACCTCTGCTGCTGTCCCCAGGCACCCGCCAGTTAATCCCCCTCCCCAACAAGAGGTGAGGGATAGCCCCTTACCACAAGGACTCATTCCTCACAACTAATGTCCTTTCAAGGGAAGTTGCTTGGTCCGGACACACTAATGCCTGTCTCCCGAATTCTAGGGAAGAGCCAGGTCTTGTTCCTGCTTCAAAGACCAGCAACCAGCAGGCAAGAAGGGAATGCACATTCGCTCACACCCTGCTGTGAGAACCACGTTCACCTGTCCACATCCAAAGAGTGAACCAAGAGACTTAAGGCAGAGCAGAAAGCCAGGCTTTGCTTTAATGGGACTTGCAAGATCAAGATCTGGTGTCTTGCAAGAGTTGGCTGGGGGATGGGGGGAGCAGGCACACCCAGACTGGGGACAGCCAGCCTTCTAACCCCTAGAGCCCAGGGTCCCTCCCCCAGGTCCTCATTGGCTGAGAACCATGGGGTATAGGGTATTCCTGAAAGTGTCCTAGGTTTTACTGTCTCCTGTTGGGTTTTTCAAGGAACCAGTACCTTTAGCTGTCCCCACCTCCCTTTGTTTTCTTGTGCCTTTTGGCATCTACGAGGTTTATTCTATTGGTCAGATGAGTTGGGGGGACCCAACTTGTAACTTTCCATTCTGCCCTCCCCTCCGGCTGCCTTTCTTGCATCCCAAGTCACTTCGCATTTAAAGCTATGTACTGTATTTTGAAAATGGACCACAGGATTTATTTCTTCTCACTCCACTATGCACGAAGCCCTGTGCCCAGTGGAGCCACAAGGTTTCCTTCATTAAGTCTCATGATCGCCTTTCTAGGGGAGGATTATTCGAGCATCCAGGACTGAAATGCAGAAAGGTTGAATAACTTGCTCAAGTGGCTTAAGATTCGCAGGGGGAACAGCTCAACCCTGTGGTCATCTTAAATGCCTGAAGCCACTCAGCTCCTGCTCCGATGACTCTAATGGCAGGTGACATTGCCCTCAACTACCTGGCAAGGTCCTCTTTGGAAATCTGTGGCTGAAGAACCACTGGTCCCCAGTAACATTTCTGGGGACCAACAGCAGCCTCCCCCTGGAACACAGTCCCACGATCTTAAGTCAATCATCGTGTTCTCTGAGGCTGCGGTCTCCCTGCAAGGTTGGTTGAGCTGATCACCTTCACGACGGGGTGCCATTTCCCTACCACGTCTCGCTGCTGCAGAGCAAGGCCATCCACGGAGCCAAGGCAACTGAGAGATCCTGGTCCCCCAGAGTTTGCGGTCAAGCCAGAGGATTGCAGGTGAGTCCCTCCAGGTAGCAGGCGTGAGTCTATTAGGAGGAACAGGAAAAGGGTAAAAGGAAACTCTTGAGGGGGAGAGAAGGAGACGGTGGGTGCACTCAGGAGAGGCGTGTCCCTCCTACCCTCCTGTTTTATCAGGGCTCCGGGAGGAGGTTTCCGCGCAGTCCTGTCCAGGTCCACCTCTTGACTTTTGACTGACAACAGGGTTGCATCAGACTTTGAAGTCCCCAGGTCTTCAAAGTGTGTGTGATCTTAACCCTTGGAGGGGAGATTGGGCTGTGATGATGACATGTTGAAGATCCAAGGCAACTCTGAGTCACCTTGGCCCGTGCTGACCAGTTCTAATTAGAACTTGTTCTTACAGATTTTATGGTTATGAGACTTCGCTTCCAAGTATCCTGTTGACCTGGATCCTGGAATCTCATCTGTGTAAAGTCACAAAATGCCTCGCTTCAGGGTAACTTGTGTTCTTATGCACAGGGACAAGCCTTTGGGACCTGCATTTCTCCTACAGATAATAGGTTGTTTGCTGATGAATATAATATATCCCACTGACTTGAGCCAGGCAGGGCCAGAGCAGTCTCAGGCAAATTGTCCTTCAAAAGAAAGACAGTGAGCCTGGTCTATAGAATGATCCCTTTAACCTCCTGTTCTCACCACTTGCTTCTGTTTGTGACCTGTCAATACCAATCAGGTGGCTCTGCTCTGACCACCTGCCACACCCCTGTCTTGCTTTGGCAGTCTCTTTGATTGCAGATGTAAATTGCTCAACTAGCTTGGCTATTTGTCTTTGGATTGATTAGGTTCCATTTTTAGCAGCATGTAGGAGAATCGTCAACAAACAGTTTGTTTAAACTGGTCAACTTTCTTTAACCCACAGGCAAATAAATAGGAAATAAATTCATTGTCTCTTACAATGAAGAGAAAACCCCAGAGCGTTTGACCCAAATGAAGGCCACTCATCAATTCTCTGCCAGGTAAAATTCAGAAGTCTATATAAGTCATTCTTTAGTACGAACCAATGCAGATTTCTCTGATGAATTTGCAAAGTGTTTTTTTTTCAAAGAATCTTATGGTGAGATTTTTGAAAAATTATTATATTTGGCAAATACATGAGCCAGATACTGTTCTAAATGATTTGCAAATCCTTAGCTCAGCAGTCCTCTTGATAAAGCTATGGAGTACCACGACTGCTGTTCACGTTTAATAGACAAGGAAAGGGGACAGAGAACCACCCAAGGTCCACACTCGAGCTCCACGCTGCTGCTTCTTAAGTTAAAAAAGGAGCAGGAGGAAGAGGAGGAGGAGGAGGAGGCCGGTGGGAAGGGGAAGAGAAAGAGGGGAAACAACAAAAGTTCTGTTTCTTAAATGAACTGCAGGAATAATCCTCAGGGTTCTCTGTTACTCTCCCGCCGTTATTCCCCTCCGTATTCTCTCTCCTCCCATCTGTCTCTGTGCCCCACACTCCTTAAGCACAAAACTCTGCCTTTAAGGCTGATAGTCGCTCAGTCCTCCTCTTTGGCTCAGAAAAATACTCTGAATCCTATTAATAAACACGCCTCTATATTTGGACTGTGTTATTACTCACGGCACTCAGAACAAATAGAACTGTTTGATCTTTGGCAAATAGCATTTCTCTTGAAGGTGTTAGAGTGACGAGATCATATCCAATTGATGAAAACAATTAACTGCAAGGATGAGCTGTAATAAATTATGCATTAGAAAACAGACTCCTTTTTAAATTTGGAGACCTCTGACCAGTATCAAGAACAGATTAAATGCATTCCTTTAGGGAGAGATATGCTATCAGAAGAGGCTGTGTTTGAGTCCAATGCACTGACATGTATTCTCTGTAACAGAATGCTTCTCCTCAGTTATTAGTACCCATCTCTCATACCATCTCTCATATCTGAAACCCTGGATCATGTATCTTTCCATTACTCAATATTGGTATTTCCTATTCCCCATATGCATCTCCCCTCCCTGCTTACCCAGCCTGATCCCACCATTTAACAAGGAAGATATGCTTTTTACTAAAGCCCCTGTTCCTGTATCCCAAGCCTTCTGCTAAACTCCCACTGAAGTATCAAACCCTGGCCCAGACCCACCATAGGCCAGCTGAGTTCCTTCATCTTAATTTTTAAGAGTCCTAAATTACAGGCTCAGGCCACATGAGTTGGGGGACCTGGGTGCTGGTCTCCATTTTCTTATTCATTGTTGGTAGCTACTGTGATGGCAGAGTCACAGCCCCCAAAGATGTCCTTGTCCTGGTCTCTGACACCTGTGAATAACCACTCTCCCTGTCAAAGGGGACTTTGCAGACTTAAGTTAAGGGCCTGGTGTCGCAATATGCGAAGGAATCAGGTCACTCCAGGTGGATTGGGCTGGCAACAAAAAATAAAAACACACAAACTCAGAACCTTTTGTGAGGTTCAGGATGGCTCTGCAGCCTCAAGAATCAAGCTCCCACACTGGAGGGCAAGGAGGGCAAGTGGCAGGAAAGAGAGCAAGCAGCCTGAAACCCCCTACTTATTGGGGAGAAGCCATTCATAGAATATCCCACGCAAATAAGGCAAGGGGTCAGGTTTCAGGGGGTTGAGTCTAGCTTCGTGATGTCTTGTGGTCAGTAGATTGATTGACATCTTGGACACCCATCTCAGATGCCGTGTGGGAACGCAGGAAGAGCGAGAGGAAAGGGCACACGTGTGTTGCACAGCCCAAAGAGCATGCAACACCAGGCCAGTCCTCTCATATGCCCCAATGTGCATAGCTCACACACACAGCCCATGGATGGCCCGCAACAGCCTGGAGACCTGGAGGTTGTCCTGGATTATTTGGTGGACCAGTGCATCACCAGGGCTGTCACAAGAAGACAAGAGCATCAGAGTCAGAGATGCCATGGCAGGGGTCAGGCAGAGCGCTCTTGGAAGATGCTGCATTGGTGGCTTTGGGGATGGGGGACATGCTGTGAGCAAGGAGGCGGGTGGCCTCTGGAAGGGAGAAGGCTGGAAGGTGGATTCTCCCCTTTCACTTCCAGAGGAGGACAGCCCTGCCACCACCATGCAGTTAGCCCCGCAAGACCCCGGTTGGACCTCTCAACTCCAGCACTACAGAGAACGCATCTGCATTGTGCAGGCTGGGAAATTTGTGGTGATATGTCATAGCAGCAGTAGGAAACTAATACATTTGCTCCTCCCAGTACCCCAGGAAATACAGCAAAATATCCCCTCCCTCTCATCCTTATATACCTCTCTGTGGGCCACTCTGCCTACTACTTCATAAGAGAAAAAGCATTATTTAAATCATTTTATGCATCTTACAAAGCAACACAATTTAGAGTCAGTAAATTTTTTTCTACAGTTTTCTGTGTTCATTTAATTAATTCTTTACTAATTTTTTCCTTCTTGCTTTAAGATGAATTTACTCACCTTTTGGTAGTTTCTTATATTTATTAAAATGCAAACTTGGATTATTGATTTGAGTCCTTCTTTGTAACATAAGCATTTTAAACTATTAATTTTCCTCTAAGCACTTCTCTGGCTGCACCCCACAAATTTTGTTGTTTTCAGTTTTATTTAATTCAGAACACTGTCTCATACTCCTAATAGCTTCCTTTCTGACTCGTGGTTATTTAAATGCTTCTTGTTTGATATCAAATAGTTCGTGTTTTCCAAGGTATTTTCTAATTTAATTCCGTTATTTATTAATTTCTAGTTTAACTCCTCCTTTTCATAGTTTCTTTTTTCTCTCTGCCACGAAGTGTGTTCATGCCTCGCTGTTTTTTTGTTTGTTTATTTTTTAGTTTTCGGCGGACACAACATCTTTGTTTGTACATGGTGCTGAGGATCGAACCCGGGCCGCACGCATGCCAGGCGAGCGCGCTACCGCTTGAGCCACATCCCCAGCCCATGTTTTTGGATTTTTTTTTGAGTGATTCCATCCATAGTCTTTGGGGTTTTTGTTCGGTGATTGGCTGCTCCACTGGTCTTTGTCGTGACGGGATTGAACCCGTGGCCTTCTGTGTCATAGGCGAGGTCTGCACCAGCTCAGATCCCCAGACCTCGTGCCCCTCCTCTGACCCCACCTTCTCCAGCTGGGCTGTCACCCCTCCTTTCCTGGGCCAGGATTCTCAGCAGAACAGCTCATGCTTGCCGTTCCCTCCCCATCCCTCCCTCCATTCTGGGTCAACCAGTTCTTCTTTGGTCTTGCTCTTACCCTGGCCCAGACTTCTGAATTCCACTTAGTCCCATAAGTCCCTAGAAACCTTCTAAGAATCATCCAAGAATTATTCTTTTTGTTTAAAAAAACAGCCAGAGTCCATTTCATTTGCTTCTCGCCAAGAGCCCTGACTGATGTGACCCGTAAGCAACGACATCGAGCCCGCTGGCCGCAGCATGCCATCCGTCTTCCCCTGGTTTAGCATCTCGTTACCATAGCAACCACATCCTTTGACACACAGTGGCTGTTGCAGGGAGGGTGTCACAGTGCCAAGGGAGGAGAGGATCTCAAGGAGGAGAAGCTAACGAGTTGGGTCACATTCTGGGGAGCTCAGGAAGCTCGGAGCTAAAACAGACCGTTTGGTTTGGCACTGTGTAGGTCAAAGATGGGGTGGCCATACCAAGTGGGGCCATTTGAGAGAGAAAAGAACCCTGGAGCCGCAGACCAGAAGCTAACGTTGTAACAGAGACCTACAGTGTTCTCTTTTCCTGGATCAGCCCCTTGTAAGAGGGTTTTGGTGGAGACGATGCCCCCTGGGTGTGGGTGAAGGAGAGAATGTGACCTAAGGATGGGCCAGTGCTCTGGGGCTGAGAGAGCCGAGAGTGGGCCGAACCTCGAGGGTGGGGGAGTGTAGGCTGTGAAGGGGTCGGGGTTGTTTCTCTCTCTCTTTTTTTTTGAGAGATACTGTAGCTTGTTTTCATTTTGATGAGCTCCGGTAGGAGGTACAAATGGCAAATAGGAGGAGATGTTTGAAGGGCTGAAGACGGAGATGCAGCAGACGGGAGTGGTTGGCTGCAGACAGGAGGGGGTAGCGTCCCCCACCCAAGCAAGGGAGGTGTCTGTGGGTTGAACTGCGTGCTGCAGCCCCGGAACCTGAGAATGCGCGCCTACTGGACACAGGGACTTTGCAGGGGTGCGAGGTGGGGGTCGTGCTCAGGAGGGGTGGCACCCATCCTCCGTCCTCACAGTGGCCTGCTGGTCTTCTTAGATCCCCTTCCCTGTAGGCACTTGCATCTGCAATTCCATTAAAGCCCCGCCCCAGGGATCCTGCCCAGCTGACCAGCTGACCACACCTGGACACAGCCAGCATTTGGTGAGCAAAGTTCCAGAATCCCTGCTTTGCTGACAGCAGACCCTCTGCTCTCTTTCACCTTGGCTCACATTCTACCCCCCATTGTCCCCGCCTGCCCTAGTCCTCCTGGCTCCTGTCCTTTGGTATCATCTCCTGCTGAGGCTCTGGCTCACCCCTGAACCCCAAGCTCAGTGTCACACCCAGAGTCTGACAGGGCCATGCTTCATCTGTCCCCAGCTGCCCTGGACAGAACCCCAAAACGATGTACTCTGAACCCTCAACCCCTTCCCCAGGGGCAGTGTGGGATTGCCTTCTGTCCAGCCCAGGGCTCCCGGGCAGGGATGACCTGTCTCCACTTGTTACTTCTCACTCTCACATGGAACAGACTTTTCAACATCTCGGTACACAATGGCGTGCTCCCACCGTGGCCTCAGAGCCAGCGGGAGTCAGACAGGAGGGTCCCTTTGCTCCCAAGCCCCGGTGTTGACTTTAAAGTCCCTGACAGGAGCTGTGACGCCTGACACCTTCTCTCCCGCTCACAGGCACTTTTGTCTAACTCAATCACTTCATTCTGTCACCCTCCCCGATGACGTGTCAGCTCTTCAGCTGGTCCTTGTGGCTTACAAAGCACCTGGTTAGCTGCCCGGCCTAGGTGGAGGGAAGGGCCACTGTGTGAGAGCCACTTGGGAGCCCGGGGCCCTGCCAGGCCGCCCTGTCCTGCCAGCTTCACCCACACAGGGGGTGCGGGAAGGCAGGTCAGGTGACAGGCTTCACCATGGCTCTACTCAGTCACTGTCACTTTGGTGCCTTGGTCAAAGCTCTGGGAGTGGCCAGTTTTCTGGATTCTGTCACTGCTCAGTGCTGGCAGGGAGGGTCCACGTTGCCTCCTGCACGCAAAGCCGTTCCTGGGGTGGGGGTGGGGGGGCGGGGTGAGTTTGAAGAGCGAAGGCCAAACCCAGCCCAGTGTTCTGCATTCTGCAAAGTGCACATTCCTAAGGGGTAGCTGAGAGGTCCTGGGGACATCCCTCCTCATCCCCAGATGACAGTAAGCCCCTATCCTCCCTCTTACTTTTCCCCAGTCCAGAGCCAGGACCAGGGAGCATGGTGACGGGTGGACAGTGTTCCAGGGCTGTGTGAAATGTCCCCAGGACCTGGCTGGGCCTGTCCCCAAGATTCAGATGCAACCCGTCCCTGTGCCACGTGTTCCATCTCCCTTGCAGGACTGGCAAGGTCCTCCCAAGAGGGTAGGGGTCAAGGTCTGGTGACCCTTGGGCACCCTCAGCAACCATGCCCCTGCCCCCATGTCCCCAGGGCTTCCAGGAATTAGCACCTCCCCAGGAGGACCGTCAAGAGCCAGCCTGGGAGGGAATTCCTACCTGCTTTTGCAGACCAGGGCTGATTCTAGAATTCCGCTTCCCTGAGCAGACTCCCCGCCAGTCCTTCCTCCCATCCTCTTGTCATGATTTCCTTCTGTGACCATAGCTGAGTCTCTTTCCTGGCACCACAGTCTCATACAGGGGACAGCCCTTCGCTCTCATCTGCCTGAAGCTCATGGTGAAGTGCAGCCTGTTTACCTCATGCCTTCTCAGAGCTTTGGGTGCTCCGGTCCCTGGCAGACGCTTGCCCCAGTAACATAGAAGCGCAGCCTGCCCCCAGGAGTATTTAGCAGAAGGTGAGCTGCAGCTCCTCTGAGGCTCAGGAGAAACCTTCTACTCTCCCCTGCCCTGGTGACACCAGGTGGACGAAGGCCTGAGTTGGACTGTCACTGTGTGAGTGTCACTGAGGACTCAATCTGCATCTCCAGCCCTTAAAGTTTTCATTTTGAGACAGGGTCTCTCTAAGTTGCTGAGGCTGGCCTTGATCTTGCTGTCCTCCTGCTCAGCCTCCCAAGTCTAGGATCACGGGTGTGCACCCCCACACCTGACATGTGTGTTTCAATGCCACAGAACCTCCCCACTGGGTGCCGAGCTCCTGGCCACACAGACCCCCTCCCTCCTCCCTTGTGTCCTTACCTGCACCCCGCTCTTCCCCACAGCAACAGCAGCCTGAGGTTTTGCTTTAAGAGTAAAATTAACACTTAGAAATTGGGTCATGCTGCTAGCCAGACAAGGATTTTAAAAATCCACACGTGTCCAGCTGAGGATTTGATGGGCGTTGACTCCATCTGTGAGCCCCACACCTTGGTGCTTGCTGTTTACACCTGGCCTCCCTGTTTGCACAGCTCTGTGCCATGCAGCTGTGGAGTCCAACCCGTGCCTTACAGCCTACGACCCTGAGATAGCTTTGACCCACTTACGCCTCCCAAGGATCCTCCCTTATTAAGCGCAAAACAAAAATCTGTGCGTCGCCACGATATGGGAAGGCTGCCTCATTCAGCAGGCGGATTTATTTCTTACTATCCATATTGATGTTCTCAAAGGGGAGATCATCACCATGGCAAAAGCTGTGTTTATAGCAAGCCAGCCCCTCCCGGAGAGAGCGGGCGGGATGTGCTGGCCGAGAGCACTGGCCACGGCCTGGCCAGCTTGCATCTTCACCTGACCGGGACCCCTGGCCCCTCCCGCTCACAGGCGGTGTGTGTGACCCATAGCCCGCAGGCTGCACCGTCTCCTGCATGATCCCAGACTGCAAGAGCTTCCCCGACCCCAGAGCTGGCTGTGATTTACAGCCCCGTTGTGCATCTGCAACTGCCAGCACTGCTATCAATTCTGCTGCCAAGCTCAGGCTCCACAAAGGCTTTCTGCCGCCCGCCGCTGCTGCATGGAAGAACAAATGTCAGTTCAGCCTGCTTTTAACAAACGGTGACTGGCAGCGGGTGGAGATGAGAAATGGCGAGCAGCCCCATCCATCCTGGGTCTCTCTCCTTGTCTGAGTGCCCCCCGCATCCTGCTCCACCACACCAACCAGGATTTTTATTTTGCCTTGATTCACTCTATCCATAAAGAAAATATTAAATCCATTCATGCAAGAATATGAGACATAATGTGGGGCCCTGCCTAGAGGTACCTGCGTTTTTAAAGCTGGAATTTGGGAACTAATTAAAAATTGTGGTTTTCAATGTATGTTGGCTCT